CCACCCACCCACCCCCAGCAGCCTCCTGTTCCCTCCCTTGCACCAGTTGCTCACGGGCCAGATAAGAGTCCTGGCTCTAGCCCCCGGGGCCTTATGTTTGACACCCCTGTTCTAGACCTCACAGAAGCCAGGGACACCAGAAATCACCAATCCTTCAGACGCGCCTGGTTCCGCACCAATCTGTATCTTAGCAGTTAGCACCGCAAAGCTTTTTTCTCTACTCTGCCGACAACATCAAACCTTTGGTACTGCAAAGTTCCACCATATCCCCTTTGTGCCTGTGCTATACATTACAGCAGGGCCTTCTCTGCTGTGGCATCCACCTGATGGAGTCTGCTTCAAAGTAAAGTCTACCTGGCCAGACCAGGTCGCAAAGGTTACCAGGCTGGCGTTTCTCCGACTACACCAGGTTAGGCAACTGGCTCCCCGTCTTGCCCTGACCTAGCCATAGTAATCCATGCAAAGGTCACATCCAGGATAGACTACTGTAACTCACTCTACGTGGGTCTACCCTTGAGGCTGACCCAAAAGCTCCAACTGATCCCTAATGTGGCCACGTGGGTCCTTACAGGGACCCCTCAGACAGCACATATTCTGCTTGTGCTGCAAGAGCTGCACTGGCTTCCGGTGGAGCACCAGATCAGGTTCAAGGTGTTGGTTTTCACCTTTAAGGCCCTTAGCAGTCAGGGACCCACATACCTTCGGGACCTGCCTCTCTCAGTATGCCCCCAGAAGAGCGCTGCACTTGGGAAGTGGTGGTCCCCTGCCTGGTGGAACTCTCTGCCAGAGAACACCCGTGCCTTGCAGGATTTGTTACCTTTCCGCAGGGCATGTAAGGCAGAGATGTTCCAGCAGGCATTTGGTTGAGGACAGCGACGGGACATGTAGTCTGCCACTCTCACGCCTTCCATCCTCCGCAGCCTCCCTAGGAGACTTGTGGAAGCGGAAATCTTCACCATCTCGGAACGGATTGTTTTATTTGTTGATATATGTATTTTATTGTTGGGTTTAATTCATTTATTGCATTCAGCTTTGTTGTAAACCACCCTAAGCCCGGCTTCCAGGAAAGGGCGGCCTAAAAGCCTAATTAAATAAATAAAACTAATTGGTTTTCATTCGAAGCTAAAAACATTCCGCTACCCGAAGGCCTTGCCGACACAGAAGCGGACACGGTTGGGTTTTTTTGTCTGCTTTTTTAATCCGGGATTTTTAATTGATGCTTTTTCAATGTGATAATAGGTTGCAATTAATTTCAGTTTAAAATTGTTTTTGCTTTTAAGGTTTTGGTGACATTTTCATGGTTGCCCTGCGGGGGGATTAAACTGATGTGACAGCTCTGCGCATGCATCATGTCACACATGCGGCATTTCACCCTCCATATCAATTAATGGGGGAGCAGAGGCACACAGAAACTGTGTGCATATACACAGAGGGGGAAAGTTAGGCATGTTTAATCCCCTTTCTATACCAAATTGCAGGCTCATGGACATATAGCCTAATATGAACAAAATATATACCATGAGATGGCAACAAATATGCATAGACTCTTCTTTAAATTTACTTATAAATAATGAAATGGTAAGGAGCTGCGGTGGCTCAAGTGGTTAAGACGCTGAACTGCAGGCTGTGGAAGGTCGGTAGTTCAGGAGTTCGAGACCCGGGTGCCGCATGACGGAGTGAGCTCCCGTCTCTAGTTCCAGCTCCTGCCAACCTAGCAGTTCGAAAGCAAGAAATCGCAAGTAGATAAACAGGTACCGCTTCGGTGGGAAGGTAACAGCCTTCCGTGCGCCTTGGTGTTTAGTCATGCCGGCCACATGACCACGGAAACGTCTTCGGACAGCGCTGGCTCTTCGGCTTGGAAATGGAAATGAGCACCACAACCCTAGAGTCGGGTTCGACTGGCTTTCGAGCAAGGGAACCTTTACCTTTACCTTTAATGGTGCTCAATAGAACTTATATCACATACAATCCTTGTTATTTGTATCAATACAAGTACTACAAAAGACAATATTGTCTACTTCTTACAACAACCCATTGAAACAAACAACAGCATATTCTATTACACAATGCAGCATGTGAAAGATTCTGAAAGATTCAGCCCGTTTCTTTGTCTTTCTCATATTAATCCCCTTTTT